CGACGTTGCAGCTCATCCCAGAGGTTTTCTATGGGATTCAAGTCCGGACTGCAGGCCGGCCAGTCCATTCGGTTGATGCCAGCCTGCTGCATGAAGTTTTGGACAAGCAACGCTCTATGAGGTCGGGTGTTGTCATCCTGGTACACTGCATGTGGCACCATCTGCTGCAGAGTAGGTAGTGCTAATGGACGGAGTATCTCATCTCGGTAACGTATTGCAGTCAGATTCCCTTGCACTTGGTACAGAGGTGTTCTGTGGTTCAGACTGAAAGCATCCCATACCATCACGGAACCACCTCCAAAAGGCATCACTTCTCTGACGGCTTCATCGAGGAGCCGCTCTCCGGGTCGCCTCCAAACCCTGATACGGCCGTCATTGTGATGCAAAGAGAACCGGGACTTGTAGCTGAAGAGAACGTTTGCCCACTGTTGACATGTCCATCTTACTTGGCGTCGCCAAAAGGCAAGACGAGCAGCCCTATGTGCTGGGGTGAGACGCTGGCGGACTGCTGGTCGATGTGCATTAAGTCCAAACTCGTGAAGACGTCTTCGTACTGTCTGACAACTAATGTTAACACGAGTTGCCGCTCTCAGCCGTGTCCGGATGCGATTTTCTGGAGAGGATCTCGACTGCGGAGCCTGTTTATGAATGAATCGGTCTTCCCTTGCATTAGTGGCTCTTGGTCGATCTGATCTGGGTCGCTCTTGGGCACTACCAGTGGCGTTGGCACGCTGAATCAGCCGTGAAATGACAGAAACGGACACTCGCAGACGTGTAGCAACTTGTCGGAGTGAAACAACATCTTGTACCTAAGCAATGGCTCGTCCTCTGTTTACATCAGACAATTTCTGTCGAGGAGGCATGTTTATGCTTAGCCCTACAGCAGCAGAATGGTGTATCCACAGTGCAAATGAGCGAGTGCAAGTCACTCACGAGACATGAATCTTGCAATTGAAAACTGATTTTTGAGCGTTCATAATTTTTTCTGACGGTAAGAGCTAGAGAATAAAAATCGATAATTGGAAAACATTGGACCTTTTTGCCATCTCCCCAGCTCATCGCACAGGAGTCACGTGCACTTCAAACCCTGGTGTGTACAAGCCCATTAGTCATAGAGTAACATTTTACCAATATCTAGTTTTTCGAGTAAAAGTAAAACCTCGGAAGAATGCATACAAATGTATCACTCTTTTTACAGTACGTTCCTTAACTTTTGTTGACTAGTTTATTATGTTCTTTACAGGTTGTTTCATGTGGGGTCTTTTTATAGTATAATGTTCTTATGGCCATATCTACATAATCTATATCATTTAAACGGTCAAAGGCCAACTCAATTTCCATTTCATGTTGATGTTTCAGGCATTTATTTTAGCCTCATGTATTGATCCAATATAATGGCGTATTATATGAGAGTTAGTTATTCCTCATAGTAGTAGTATTAGTAGTAGTAGTCCCCCTGCCCAACAACACAGATAAAGATCAATTTTAAAAGTTTTATAAGAACTCTGGAATTGGGCCAATTCCTGGCTGACACTATCGGTTTTTAAGTGTTCATTATAATATTATAAAAACCTTTCCACAGTTAAGTAGTGTTTCTCACCGTAGATCCAGCTGACAACGAACAGCTCCAAAATGCTGTTCACGATCACGACATAGGCGGCGAAATACCAGTCGACTAGCTGGAACAGGTACATGCCGCCCTATTTACAAAAAAGACAGAAAAAGAAAATGAAAAAAAGCCCAGAATGAAAGAAAAAAATGTTTAAAAATAATAATAAATGGTGTAAAAAAACACACGTGGAAACGGGGTTAACATCTTTAAAAAAGGGGAAAAGCAATTAAAAATTTTTTGGGGAGAAATTAGACAAAATAAAACAAGGAAACAAACAAACAAAAAGTGTAATGCCCCCTTCCCCAACCCTCCTGGTTTTCGATAAAGCAACTAAAAATAAACCTCGCCACAAACGAATAAACATAATGTATCGATATAAGGAGCATCAGGAATAAACGACTTAGCATTACAAGACCTTCATGCATTCTCATTATGTTTTACGGCGAGGTAATTCTACAGGATGATGCCTATAAACTCAAATCCACATGATCAGAATCAAAGATTTGTTTTTCTGAACGAAAAGAGAACTTGGAAAATCAAGAAATGCGCCTTTTTGTCATAGGTCTAATATACGATTTTGTTGGATGCGTTAGTGACAGAAGCAGAAAGTGGATCAGCAGGTTTCTGCTTGGAGGTCTTCTCTTTGTTCTAACAAGTTTTCGGCAAGAATTTATTAGCGTCCTTTATAAAGTGCAAGGGTCTATGTAGTGCCTGGTGGAGTGGGGGAGTTTGAGTCCGGCAAAGTACCAGGATTTTAAAAAAAATATTTTTGCTTCTGCTCAAAAGCTCAAATTACCCAAAGGTACAGAAAATAATTTTCGCGTTAAACTAAAGTCAAGCTAAAAATATGATTTTAAAACTTTCGAACCATTAAATTAATTGAAAGAGACATTTTAATTAAGATAACCACCACCGGTCTGATTTATTATATAGAAGCCGTTAAACCATATAATTGATTTACCTCCGTGGCGTAAGGTAAAGATATAACAAACAGGACTGAGAAAAACGTGAGCTTGAAGAGAGACTGTCTCCTCTTCATCAACCACGGAAACACGTCACTGATGGTGGTCAAAAACGTCTCGCACATCACAAACTGCAACAGAAAATAATTGGGGACACTTTCAGAGCTGTACACTTTCGAAAACAAACAAACAAGCAAACAAAAAGACAACAACAAAAACACACTAACTAACATTGCTAGGATTAGATATAATGTATAGAAAAATCTTGTCGAGGCACCCACCAGCTTGCCTTCTGTTTTATAGGTAGATTGTGTAGATGGGGATTTACAAAACTTATGGTTACTATTGTTACGCTTACTCGGTCCTACAGAATCTCAGAGTTAAGAACTCGTTGCCTCATTGGGGCTGTCTTGGATGGGATTGAAAGTTGCGGACAGAATTACCAAGGCCCTGAGAAAACCGGTATACAGGTTTTAAAAGAATTGAGTTTAAATATTAAGATGGCACAGTTCGTTTCTTTGCGGTTCCCTTTTTGGTTATAGTTTTTAATTCGTTGTTTATTGTTATTGTTAATTTTGTGTTGCTCTGTTTTGTTTTTCTCATTTCACTTCTTTTGTAAATCGGTGCAATTCTTTTTCGGTGTCTGTGTGTGTGTGTGTGTGTGTGTGTGTGTGTGTGTGTGTGTGTGTGAGTGTGTTTGTGTGTGTCTGTGTGTGTATGTGTGTGTGTCTGTCTGTCAGCCTCTCTCTCTCTCTCTCTCTCTCTCTCTCTCTCTCTCTCTCTCTCTTTCTCTCTCTCTCTCTCTCTCTCTCTCTCTCTCTCTCTCTCTCTCTCTCTCTCTCTCTCTGTATGTGTGTGTGAATGGGCTAAAGTGGGAGTGGGTATTTTTTGTCTTTTAGGCCTTTTGCTTTTAATTCTTTTTGTGTTCAGTCTTGTCTTTTAGCAGCATTTTAAAATAAAAAGTTTCTTTGATTGGTTTTTTTCTGTGTGTAAAACAGTTAGTAAAATCCCACGTATTTGAATGAGGTCATTTAGTTCAATAGGGTTCACGGAAAGAGGTCAGTAAGCCCGAAGTATTCTGGGAAATAAATTGTTCAAACAGAATTCGGTGAAAGAATTCAGTTAACAAAAATAATTCGATGAATGAAGGAAGTCAGTAAACAAAAGGGATTCGGTGAAAGAAGTTAGTTAATGAAAAGAAAAAAAAATTATGTTAAATAAGTCGTTTAACAAAAAGGATCCGGAGAACGAAGTCAGTTATCCAGTTGAATCACCTGAGAGTCCAGCCCCAGGGTGAAGAGCATCAGGAAAAAGAGAACTCCCCACAGCTGTGGCACAGGAAGGTACGAGATGGCTTCTGGGTACACCACAAAGGCAAGGCCAGGCCCTAGTTAGAGATATAAAGAGAGAATTATATAAAGTAGTGCTGTGGACAAGAGCGTCAATAAAAGTATAATGTATATATTAAGTCGAATCAATAATGTACTCATATTAAAGACAGCTTTTTCAAATGTAGGTGTTTTATGCCCCCTCCCCCACCTCCCCACTCCCCTCTTCCACACACACACACACACACACACACACACACACACACACACACACACAAATCGACACAATTTAGATGACTGAGGAGGCAAGCTTCTGACCCTGCTTGTCAAGGCATACCTGGGCTGAGAGGGATGCAGACAACACCCAGCAGAAAGACCGATATACCCGATAGACATTTTCTCCCCACTCGGGAATCGAACTCAGATCAATGGAGGACGACAGCTACACAGGGACATCGGAAAAGGTAGAATTAGGATGGCATGACGATACATAAACGTTGCAGGTTTAAATTGATACCCAGGCTGTAGAATTTCTAGTATAGAGGCTTTTTATAATTTAAAAAAAAAACCACCCCAAAAAGTACGAAGAGACTAACCTCTCTACCACAGATACCGATAAGGAAATGTATTTTCTATATTCGAAAACCACTTAAAATGCGTATGACTCTGACTTCTTATTTACCTGTATTGGCGAACTTTGAAATGGGCACGTTCAAAGTGTGGGCCATGTGTCCTAACAGTGTGAAGATAGTGAAACCCGCAAACACGCTTGTACCTTCACAAGCAAAGCACAACACGAGACTGTCTCTGTGGAATAGAATGGTAGGAAGATACTGAAACTAGGGAGCTTCTTTTTATTTTAAATCTGTTGTACTTTTTTTTACTCAACTTGCAACAAGATAAGTTCATATAGGTGCCGAGTATAAGAGGTGTTAAAAGAGATAAAAGAGAGTAAGACATATAAATAAGGAGAGGTACAGATCATAGATGTTTGAAAGACGAAAAGGAGCAAACCATACCAGAGCAACCCCC